TTTTTTTTTTTTAAGAAACAGAGTCTTACTTTGTCCCCCTCAGTAGAGTGCTGTGGCATCACAGCTCACAGCAACCTCTAACTCTTGGGCTTAGGGGATTTTCTTGCCTCAGCCTCCCAAGTAGCTGGGACTATAAGCTCCCACCACAACCCTCCACTCCCTTGCAGTTTGGCCGGGGCTGGGTTTGAACCCTCCACCCTTGGTATATCGGGCTGGTGCCCTACTCACTGAGCCACAGGTGCCACCCCATCTCAGTTTTCTGTCTCATGCATCCATCCCATGGAGGCTGGAGTGTGGGCCCAGCATGGGTAGAAGGACCTGAGAACAGCCCTGAATGACATCAACCCTCCTGCCCACTGCAGTAGCCTGAATTCTCCCTTTCCCTAAGACTCCTGTGGCAGAGGGGCCTTCCTGGACAAGCCACACCTGACCATAGAAGGTGGGGGCTCAGGGCCAGACTGATGGGGACTCCTTGGAGGGGCTTCTGCGCAAGGAAGTCAGATCCTCAGCTGCCTGTGGTCCAGATGGCTTCAGTGTTTCGACAATCCAGGGTCAAGAAGGACTTTAGTAAGAGGAGGCGCTGCTAGAGGTCCAGCCAGGCAGCCCTGCCTGTGCTCTGGGTCTCCTCCCGCTGCTGAGACATCAGTGACAGTGTTTAGGATGAATTTTAATGGAATGCAAAGACTAAGAGGGGCCTATTGTCACTGTGGTGACCACTGGCTTGTGGCAAGTGATGTGGCTTCTGTGGTAACAAGAAGTGGTGTTTCCTCTGAAATAATCTTCTCTGCAGAGAAGGTCCCCCAACTTCTGTGGCAGGGTCAGACATGACCATGGGACAGGGTCAGCCCTGCCATGGGGCTTACAGTTGGGGAGGATCCAGCTAGGCCAGCAAGGGGCATGAGAGGAAGGGCCTCTCCAGCCTGGGCTGTTCTTCCCTCGGTGGCAACTGAGGCTGCATAAGGAAGGGTAGGCAGATGTGTTGTGCAAAAGCACAGGGGCTGAATAACCAACAGGTGCCAGAAACAGGCTTTCAGGAGTGTTGGCCTCCTGTCTGCAATGGAGCTGCCCATTGGAGGCTGCCCCGTTGGGCCCAGGGTTAGGGGATTCAAGTGCCTGGAGATAATGTGAGAGGCTCCCTGGCTCCTGGGACCTAGACTCACCCCTTCTCTCCCATCCCAGTGCCTGTGCTGTAGAAACCAGGCTCCTCCTCCAGGAAGTCCCCACATCTTCCCTGCTAGACACGGCTCTGCCCAGACTGGGTGATGAGTCCAGCAAGGCACTTCCCTCCAGCATGGGTGTGCAGGTCAGTGTCAGCCCTCCCACGGCCCCAAAGCAGAGACTTAGAGTGGCACTTCTCTCTAGCACTGGCTTCTGGACTCAAGTGAGCCCCGGAAAAGGTACCTTCTCTCTTCCCAGCAGCCTTAGCAGCAATTTCCACCTTGCTGACTCCCCAGCCCAACTCCAGCTGCCCAGCTCGGGGCCAGGCCAGGTGGGGCTATGGAAGGGGGTGCTGCCCGGTGAGGTTCAGCCTGGAAGGACTCTCCTACCCTCTGTTGATCAGGTTTGTTCAGCAACAGGAGGAGCTTCAGGCAGAGCAAGCACTCGTCCCAAGAGATATACAAGGTGAGGTTGGGGCCCCTTGGGGTGCAGACAGGAGGTGGGTGTAGGGCTAAAGGATGTCTCATGGGCTGAGGCTGTGCAGGGTGAAGGGACAGCAGAAATGGGGCCCGTGGGGGTGGGAGGGCAGAATGATGGGAGGCTCTGGACACGCTCTCCGAGCCTGGATCCTATCATGGCTCGGGACTGTAGATCTATGGGTGAAGTGGGCTGTGTGGTGACCAAAAGCAACCAAGAAGCCCACTCCAGCCCCACATCATGTGCAGAAAGCTAATGTGCTCTTTATTTGGGGGTGTGTGGATGGCTCGGGGGAGGGTCACTGGTAGCCAGTCAGCTGCAGCATGGTGGGATAGCGGGCACGGTGGACCATGCACTTTTGGCGGTCGATGAACAGGCTGTTGGTCTTGACTGCAATGTCCTTCTCTAGGCTCATTCGTGTGTCTTCTAGGTTTCGCAGTGACTGCTCTGCTTCTAGAAGCTTCTCCTTTAGGGCCGTGAGGGACATGTTCAGCTCTTCCACCTCGCTCACCAGCCTATAGGAAGTTGGGGGTGTTAGCAGGGGCTCTGGGTAGGGGTTGTGGGGACCTTCCCCCAGGGGGGACAAGATGGGGCTTAGAACTCAGGGGGGGTTCTGGCCAAGACCCCATGAAAGGACCCCTGGGCCCCAAAGGGAAACCCCCAGAAAACTAGTCCTAGGAGTGACCCCTAGCTATAGGGGCAGGTGGATGGGGCAGTGATGGCCATGTGGCCCTGGGCCTGCCACAAGGAGGACAGGCACCTGAACTGGGCAGTGTCACGGCACAGCTCTACGTTGGGCCGATGTGAACGCTGGTATAGGCGTGTCTGGGCCACCCTCAGTGGTGCCTCCTTGTCCTTGATGGCCTGCTTCAAGGTCGCAATATTGTGCTCTTGGTCTGTGATCTCCCGCAGCGTCTGAGGGCAGAAACGTGCCCATGAGCCCCAGCCAGGTCAGGGCCAGGCCAGCAGGGTACCAGGCCAGCCCTTTTCCTGCTCTCTTGGGGCTGTGTCCAGTGGGGCAGCCCTGTCTGATGGCTCTGGGGGATGCTTAAGGAAGGGACAATGTGACGGCCACCTCAGCCTTCCCCAAGGCACTTAGAGGGCTTTGGTGAGTCAGCATGGCCTGAGCACCCCCAGCGTGATGGTCACCAGGCCCTCAGCCCTGGCTAAGTACTCAAGGGACTTGGGTGCACCAAAGGCCAGGCTAAGAACCCAGAGTCAGAGGCCTGTGGTCCAACCAAGCCTGGTGAGTCACCCCACTAGGTGGTCCCTGACCCCCAAACTGCCTCCTGCCTCCATCCTCCCTACACCCATCAGCCCCTGGTGTGCTTTTTAGTGGCACTGCCAGCTGTCTCTGCACATGCTTAGTGGGAGCCCACACACGTGCAGGCATCTGCTCTTGGGGACCTCAGGGTGAGACCCAGGGGGTAGTTTCAGGTTGGCCCACCTTAAGCAGGTGGTGCTGTAGCTTGTGCAGGGCGTCCTCCAGCTCCTCACAGCGGCGCCCAAAGGCCAGGTTCACAGAGTCACACTGCAGCCGCAGGTCCTCTGCAGTGTCCTGAAGGATGCAGTCGATAAGCGCCCGCAGGTTGGTTGAGGCCTGGTGCTCACGCTCTGCACGACACAGGTTTTCCTGGGTGAACTTGGCCCATGTCTGGGGTGTGGAGGCACTGCAGACAGAAGCAGGCTCATCAGGGAAGGCCTGCCCACGGCTCCGCCATACCACCCCCCTGCCTGGCCCCCTGTGGCCCACCTCCACGCCAGGGCCTGCGCCCCACACTGTGAGGCCACCTGCCCCCCACCTCCACCCCGCATCTTCCTGCATCCTATGTCCCTTTTCCTCAAAACCTGTGTCTCCCCTGCCCAGCATCCTTTGTCCCCCCCACCCTGTATCCTGTGCCCCCAACACATTCTGTGTCCTCCACCTCAAACCCTGTGTCCCCTCTATCCTGCATGATGTACACCCCTGTCCCATACCCTGTGTCCCCATCCTGTGTCCCCTGCACCATGTGCCCCTGCCCTGAACTCTGTGTCCCCTCATCACACTCCATGCCCCCCCACATCTCATGTCCCCCCATGCCACACATTGTTTTCCCCTACTCCCCAACCCTGAACCCTGTATCCCCTCACACCCTCTGTCCCCCTACCCAGCACTCTGTGTCCCTCCACCCTGCACCATCCCCCCTGCTCAGTATCTTCTGCTTCTCTCATTCTGTGCCCCCCCGCCCCACACCCTGTGCCCCCTAACACCCTGTGACCACCCCCCCGCACAGCCCGACCCCCACCCTGGGATGCCCACCCCTGTATCCTTTACCCTGCACCCTGTGCCCCCCAGCATGTCAGGTCCCCCTTTGCTCCACACCCTGTGGCCCCACCACACATCCTGTGTCCTCCTCAGCCCACACCCTGTGTCTTCCCTGCCCCATACCCTCTGCCCCACCATGCTGTGACCACTGTCCCACACCCTGTCCCCCCCCACCCTATACCCTAAATCCCCCTGCCTCACACCCTGTGCCCCTCTGCCTGTACCCTGTGTCCCCTATATCCTGTCCCTCCCATGCCCCGTGATCCCTATACCCTACCCCACACCCCATACCCTGTGTACCCCCCATTTCACACCTGGTGTCCCCCTGCACCTTGTACGCCCCCATCCTATACCCTGTGTACCCCCATCCTGTGCTCCCTGCATCCATGCCCCCTAAATCTTATGTCCCTCCCACCCAACACCCTGTGTCCCTACACATGCTGTGTCCCTCCAAGCTCCATACCCTGTGCCTCCCCCACATCCTGTGTCCCCTGCCTTACCTCCTGTGTCCTCCCCAGCCTGCATGCTGTGTGCCCCTGCCCCACACCCTGGGCCTCCCCTACCCTGCACTGTATGCCCCCTCACATCCTGTGTCCCCCCAGCCCTATACCCTGTGTTTCTCCCGCACCCTGCACCCATATACCCCTGCCCTACACCATGTGCCACCCGTGCTTTCCCTGGTCCTCCTTGATCCCCATGCTCTGGCTCCCCCTCTTTGATGCAGTGTCACCCGGGGCAGACATACACTATGTCAGCCCCTGCCTACCTCTCCTCAAACTGGGCAGAGTGCGGGTAGGACTGCACCTCAGTACTCTGGCTGTGCAGGCGGGCACAGTACTCATCAATGTTGTAGGCCTCCACCTTGTCCGACCAGTTCAGCTCGCAGGTCTCCTTGTGCTCCCGGTTAAGTCTGGGTGGCAGCAGTTAGCTCAGTGCCAGGCCCCCTAAGCTGGCAGAACCTAACCCTCCACTCTGGGACCCAGGTAGTCCCTGCCCTCTTTGAGCCTGGGGTGCAGGTAGGTGGGATCAGGGGTTATCCCTCGGGCCTGGAGGCACCCACCCACCGGATCTGGTTCACCGCTTGCATGATGGTCCTCTTCAGGAGCTCCTGGATATTCCGGATGAGCTCAGCTTCCTGCGGGGAAGAAATTCCACCTGAGCCCAGAGACCACTGAGGGCTGAAAAGGGCCTGATCCCTGCTTGCTCATGTCTCCTAAAGTGGAGCCACAAGCACAGATCCTTCTATGTAGGGCTTACTCTGGGCTTTCAAACATTCTTTCTGGTGTGTTGTAAGCAAGATCTTTTCTTCTGGGGACTTCTCCCAGCAGCAGATCCCATACTCCTAAGCTTGAGGGTCATTGCTGCAGTGGTCCCAGAGCCTGCCCTGAGGGGCATCAGCCTGCCCTCTGGCCCCTGAACAGCCTCCAAGACCCCTGATCCCTGGGGACCAGCTGTCCACCTGGGCTGCCCCTGGGGCTCTGTCCTGACACCCAGAACACAAGGGTCCTGCTGTGGCCTGCATGGTTTCATGTTCTGTGTGAGGACAACCCTCTTTCCTATGACTGGTATTCCCGCCTCGACCTCATGCTGCATCTCCAGGTGATCCCCTAAAGATGTTGGGGTCCTGGTCCCATGTACCCCTGTTGTTCCACTGGTGTTAGTGTTTCTATTACTGGGCAGGGTGAAGGCTGGGGCAGGGACGGCCCCAAGGCTCCAGCCTGAGCCTAGGGTGTAGGGAGGGGTCTCCCTGAGGCCCTTGGACATCCCCCAAACATCCTTCAGTAATGGCGATGCCCAGGCCTGAGAGGTGAGCAGGTTCTGCAGAGCCAGCACCAGCAGCCAGCCTGGCACTTCCCTAAAGACACCGCATGCTGCCTTCTGAGGAGACATTCAGAGGAGAGAGAGGGGATCTGGAGGGAACTATGAGATCGGGAAACTCAGTGTCAGGCTGAATCTTCTTGGATACAAGTGGGCTGGAGGGGATGAGATCCCGAAAGAGAGACAGTTACTTGAAAGTCCGTGATTCAGTGGGGGCAAAACCATCTCCTGTGACTAAAGAGCCAGGTGTCTGAGCCCCAGGGTCCTGGGTCAGGCGCAAGGGGGCCGACGTGTGCCTGCATGTGGCCACATGGGTGCACAGGTACTAAAGCCTATGGCCACAGGTAATCCTATGTCTGCCCAGGCCTCTCATGCCCTCACAGCCCCTCACAGCCCCACACACCTTCAGCAGCTCCATCTCCACGTGGTCACGCACGAGGTCCGGGTGCTGGCGGCGCTCACGGCACTGCAGGTTGTCAGTGGCAATAGAGAAGGGTACTGCCGTGGCGTCCAGGGCACGCTCCAGCCGCTGCTTCTGGGACAGCAGCAAGTCGGTGTCAGCAATCAGCTCGTCAACCTCGCGCTGTAGCTCTGACTGCCAACAGTGCATGTCCTGTAGCCGCTGGCCCACCCTCCTTGTGGAGTCCTGCTGTGTGCGCTGTGCCAGCGCCCCCGTCTCAGCCGCCAGCTGCTGGCTCTCATGCCGCTGCCTCTCTGACTGGTCACGGTCTGCAAAGACCTGGTGGTAGCGGGCATAACAGTTCTGGAACCACTCGTCCACCAGGTACTTTGCTGTGCGGAAGCCGGCAGTGGCCAGGCCCGAGGAGGTATAGGCACCGGTGTTGCGGGCCACATCATACACCTTGCAGGGCAGCTCACTGGGTGGCACTGTCTGTGGGGCCGGCTCCTTGGTCAGGAGCACATCTGTCTGTGCCATGGTGCTGGCCCCCTGATGGGGAGTGGGGCCAGTGGAGAGCAGGGGCGTCACTGGGCACAGTCAGCTGGGTGAAGTCAGCGGGGCAGCACCAACCACTCTGTCCTCAGAGCAGAAAGTGGCTCCTGGTCACCCTGGTAACACTGTACACACCAAGGGCCTTCTGTTGCTGGGCAACAGGGATTCCCCACCCAGTACCAGGGAGGGGGTATTCAGGGCAGGCAGAACTGCCCTCTTAAAGGGCCAGGCAGGCCCAGATCCCCTGCCTGGCCACAAACATCAGCAGCCAGCCAGGCGGAAGGTTCTTTTCTCCTAGAGAGCTCTGGGAAAAGCTATTCCCAGCATTCTGTGTCCTATCCCCCAGGCAAGGCCTACCCTGGCAGCCTCCTCCCTTCCAGAGTCTGTCCTGCCTGCCCTGCCAGGTGCTATCTTCTGACTGCCCCCTGGGCCAGGATCTGGGCACAGCTGTGAGCAAGGGGGGAGGCTCTGCCCATCTGAGGCCCCTTGGAAGCACAGGTGCCCAGGATGTTAGGGCCTCAGGGTGGCTGTTGGGGTGCTGACAGTGTTACCCCACTATCTGCACTTTCCCACAGAGGGTCTTTTCCCTTTCCCATAACCCCCACACCAGCCAATATGACACTGTGGTCTGGAGACTGGGTACCCCACCCCACCCCCGCTCAGGCAGCTGAGCCCAAGGCAGTGCCTACTGGCCTTCTCAGAGAGTCCTCACTCCTGCCCACTCCTATGACCCACCAAGGCCTCCTCAGGGCACCACAGAGGCCAGTTGCTCTTTGATGGGAGGTTAAAGTCAACCTCTGGTGCGTGTTTGGAGTCAGACGCCCAAATCTGCCCTACAGGGGGCAGGTCTTGTCCTGGGAAGTTGTCCCAAAGTCACCTGGGGCCAGGCTGTGAGGATGAAGCAATATGGGCAGGCAGCTCATGGCATCCAAGCAGAGCCCACAACACACCCGCCTCCGAGGACCAAGGGAGCCCCCAGCCTAGGGCAATGCCCAAAAGAGCCAGAAGAGGGCACCATTGTCCATAAGATGTACCTGCCCCTCCAGGCTCTTCAGCCCTCATCTGCCTGGACCACCCTGGCCTGGGGTCCAGCCCTTCTGGCCTTGGCTTCTCTGGAAACCCCCACCACACAGTCCTCTTAGCAGGGAACCCACCCCGGTCCCCCTCCCCATACAGGCTCTGCTTGCCCTCCCCACCCACAACCCCTTCACCGTGACACAGGAGCTGGTTACGCCTACCTCACCCGCTGTGCCCTCCTCCTGGTGCCCTCCCTTAGCCTGACCTCATGCTCCACGCTGTTGTCAACAGCACACAGTAGGAGCTTCACAAATACCAGCTTTGGGGAAGGCAGAGCCCATGGGCAGTGACCTTGGCCTGCACCACCCACTCCTCACTGTCCTTCAGAGTGGGAGATCAGGGGATCCCTGGAGTGAATGTGGCCCTGAACAATGCCCTCCAGTCCCCATGATTCAATTTCCCAGATGGCAACAGGCACAGGAACACTTTTTTGTGAACTGCATTTACTGGTATCTCTCCCTGTAAGCCCAGTGGAGAAGAGCTGCTGGCCTTGTCCCCTAACCCAGACTCCGGGGAACCCACAGGAGTGACCTCTCTCCATCAGCTTCTTGGTACCCTGGATCCTGCATGGACTTACCTAGGGACATCACAGTCACCAAGGCAGGGGCCCAAGTGTGGGTGCTAGTGAGGGTTGCAGGGGCTATGCTAGGGGTGAGGGGTCTGTGTATGGGGTTGACCAAGTAGCAGCTCAGTGGATTTGTTTATTTCCAAATTGTATTTGTTTGGAAAGTCAAGTCTTGGGACATTCGGATGTTCCCAAGGGCAAAGCCCCAGCGCCCTTTCCCCTCATCAGCATTCAGAGCCTGCAGGTGGGGTCCAGAAGGCCCTGGAGCCCCTGAACTTCTGCCCAGCTCTACTTGCACACCCCCAGTATACTCCTACCTATCAGGGCAGCCCTGAAGGACACACCCAGCGTCCTCCTACCTCTGGGGTCTGCTGGCTGAAGAATGGAGGCCCTCGGGTACATGCGTGTCCTTCTGGCCCTGGCCTCACAGATCCCAGGGAGCTAGCAGCCTTCCAAGCCCTGGTCAGGGGTGTCCATTAGAGCCCCCTGCTCAGGGCCCAGAGGTAGGGAGGGCAGGGTTGAGCTCACCCCAGGCTGGTTGCAGTTGGCAACCTCCAGTCACAGGGCTTGTTAAGAGGAACAGAGGGACCACTTGGGCCGGGGGTGGGGGAGGAGACAAGAGGCTGCCTTGCCCTCATCTACCCTCAGTCACATCTAGTGGCTTCTGGCCTTGGGCCAGCCCAGGGGTGTTTGTGGTATCACTGACCACAGCCACAGAAGATCTCCCTGGACAGGGATGGACCCAGGGAGGCCCTGAGCCCCACCAATTCACCCAGGGCCAGGAAGCTTGGTCCAGCCTGCAGGTTTCAGGTCTTGGGTTCCTCCTAGGACATAGGTGTGGCCACGTTGACCTTTGCCCCAAGCATGGCCTGGATGCAGTGGTGACTTAGTGCAGTAGTGACCCCACTGTGTCCCATTAACAGGGTGGGCCGGGTAAGAAGGGTCATCCTGCTAGGCCTAGCCCTGCCCCCCTGGGAAGCCACAGTCCTTCCCCAGAGTCACTAGACATGGAGGTGACTGCTCCCCTCTGCTCAGCCCACACCACCAAGCACACCCCAGGGGCTCAGGCAGCTGTAACAGGCCCAAGGTCACACAGACATGATAGGCACAATGCTGAGACTGAGACCATCTGGCTTTCTCTGATCCTAGACCACCTTCCTTGCGCCTCCCAACTGGATGACAACTCGGGAAACTGTCTGCCTCTGAGCAGTGCACCTGCCAGCAGGGTGGGTAGCACACCTCTGCCTTTCCCCCAGGGGCCAGCAGAACTTTTTAACAGTGGGAGAATTAAAACAGCTCAGATAGCCCCAAGCCCACTCTAGGTGATCAGAGGCTAGTCTCGGCCACAGCCACAGCAGAACAGGAGAAGCCAGAGAACCTGGAGGCAGTGCCCCGCCCAGGACAGGACAATGAGGGAAGACAGATTCTGGGGGAGGCTCAGGAGGGATTCCTGGAGGAAAAGTCCTGGGGGACCAAGCTTGGCATGCACATGGCCTGAGTGGGGTGGGTTTCTGCAGGCTGCCACAGGGACGAGGCAGGGAGGCCTCAGGGTGGGGCCTTCCTGGTAGCACTGAGGGGCTAAGGAGACCCACCCTCCCTGTGGAGGCAGGAGGCCCCACAAAGACTGGAGACACAGCAGGATCAGAGTGGACAAGGACCTGAGGACCTGAGTATGGCCAGGCAGTTGGTAGACTTGAGTCTCCAGCCAGCCCCTGCTCCCCAGCTGAGACAAGCCCAGCAGAGGGGTGGGCATCTGACACTCAGCCCCATTCTGTCCTCCTGGCCAGTGGGTGGATGTGGACACCCAGGACCATGGACACTGCCTGTCTTCAACCCTTCCCAGGGAGGCAGGTGGGGCATTGCATGTGTGACTCAGTTTTCCTGCCCAAAAGTGGGTGGCTGTGTGGGGCTGTCTGCACAGCTGTGTCCACCACCAGGACTCAGGGTGCTCTACTGGCCTTTAGCAGTGGTCAGGATCCTGGCCTAGCACCCAGAGCAGGGCTCTAGAGGTCCATGGCATGGGCAGAATCTAGACCATAGCACCTGAGGCTATGTGGCCTGGAGCTGTCACAGCACTGTGCCTCAGTTTCCCCATCTGTAAAATGGGGATAAGGACAGGCTCTCCCCTATGGGTGTCAGGGGGTGAAGCAGAATAGTCCTGGGTCTCTCCCATGGGAGTGCCAGCTGTAGGCAGGAGAAAGCTGGGTTCCTAGGTCAAACCAAGAAGGGTCCCGACAGGCTGTGGTCCTGGCCCTGCCTGTAGAGGCCCTGGGCAGCAGGGGCAAGTAAGACACTGTCTTGTGACCTTCACTGTGCCGAGAACCCTGCCCTCCAGGCATGACCAAGTTAAGTGGTTTTCAGAAGAAGCCATAAAACACCAGAATAAGATGAGGTGGCGTGTGGGTCCTGACTGCGGCAGGCAGATAAATGTCAGACTGTTGGAGGAATTGGAGGAATAATTGGAAGCAAGATGGATGGGTGTGTAGATTAAAAAATGGTTTTACAGAGAGATTCTGCCCTGAGAGGAACAGGACAGACATAAGAGGGCCGGGGCAGAGGAGGAGGCTGAACAGGTGTCATTGCACCTGGCATGTCAGGCAAGGCCGGGGGTCGTAGCCTCGGCACCTCCCTGTCCTGGGCCCTTCATCTTTAAGTCTGACAGAGAGGCTGGTCAAGGGGACACAGCACCCAAAAGGGTGCCTGGCAGGCCGCAGGCACCTAGAAGCTCTTCTTGTCATCACCACCATTATCACTATTTTTTTTTGTAGCATAAATCACACAGCAGAAACTTTGCTATTTTAATCATTTTAAAGTATGCAGTTTGAGGGCAGGTAGTCTACTCACAGTGCGTGCAACCGTCATCACTGTCTTATTCCAGAACTTTTAATCACTCCAAAAGGAAACCCAAACCTGTCCTCACTCCCATCTCAAGCCCCGTCCCACTGCTCTCCTTCCCTCCTGTGGTTCTGCCTGTCCTGAGCATTCCGCGTAAACGGAGTCAGATAGCACTCGGTCTTTCATCTGAGCTTCTTTCACTGAGCGTGTGTTCAAGGTTCACTCGTGTTGTGGTGTGTGTCAGCACTTCCCTCCTCGTGGCCAAGTAACGGTCACAGTATGGCTGCTGTGAATAATGCCACCTTACTGGCCCTGTTTGAACACCTGTTTTCAATTCTTTGGGTGTCTTATTATTTTTAGTATAATGTAGGTGCCATTTGAGATGCTCAAACATGGAGGTGAAAACACAGCAGTGGGTTTGAGGGCTCCTAAGCTCCACCTCTCTTGTATCTTAAAAATAATGAAAACCAGGCAGTGCCTGTGGCTCAAAGAAGTAGGGCGCCAGCCT